AAATATGTCTGCAACATGGACGAATTATGAAGATATTCTTATCGAAATATTAATTACATCTATCTGAGTAAATTATTTATTAACATTCTGTACATATAGTCTAGAAATTGTTACATATTTGATGGCTTGTCTTTTAATCACGTTATTCGAGTATTGAACTGTGAATTAAAAAGATTCTTAGAAATGAAATAATAAAATGAAAACAACCCTGGACAATCATACGGCGGTGCATTTAATCTTAACCATTCTGCCAGGCAAACTGTCACTTGGTTCGTGGCAAGAACGGCAGCGACCTTCCTGGAGTCACAAAAATCCGATGGTGCGCTGCAACACGAAACACGATGCGCCGCATAGCAATGGCAAAAGTCCGGCAATAAAATCAACTCGGGAGATCCAGACATTTTTATACTCGCAATCTTTAAATTCGCGCAGGTTTTACGCCGCCATGGCCCGTATAAGAAATCTCGTGTTCAACGCGAAGAAAAATGTAATTCTTTTCTTTTTTGTTACTTTTTCGCGCAGCTATCACACCACGATATCGCGTAATAATACCAATAAAACGCGAGTCGCGAGAAACATGTACTTTGTCGGTCGAGTGCATTGATTACTAATCGAAATTATAGTATGTTTGTGAAATCATTTCCGTTAATTTGCTCCGACGCGAATTAAAATAATACCCGGCATGTCATCCTTAAGTTTTCCAAAACACTATACTTATCTCGATTCGTAAACGTCGTCAAGATTATAGAAGGATCCATGGGCGTCGTCAGGACTTCTAAGAACATGCTTTAAACTTTCTTATTCTTGTTTGTTTTCAAAGAGTTTGGTGCTATAATATATTGTTATATAATATGTTATTATAATATATTTATTGTAATAAAATATGTTTTATATTTTATGTTCTTTTGTATATTTATATAGTTTACTGTTTTTTAATAATTGCGTATCATAAAATTTATATCACATTATATTTTAATTTTTTATTTTTAATTGTACTATATGTTGATTGAATAATTATTTAAATTTGTCATCTAACTTCAGCTCGATTACAGACCTTGTTTAATTTCTTATTGTCTTTACATTAATACGAGCACTTGTTTTATATATTTATTTATATCACTTCATTTACTTATTATTTTTAATATTTAAAAAGTTGGAAAAAAGATTGATAAAATTTTTTTCATAAACATTCTTCAAACAAATTCTCTGCCCCTGAAAGTGTAAAGCAATGCTTGTGCATCTTTCTCGTACGTTTCTTGCGGCGCCCATGGCACCTCCCTGTGCGTCCTTTCTCCTGTGCATGTCGTCGGGCAATCGCATAATAAGAAATAAATTAAGCGTTTATGTCCGCGCGCATTGGCGGTGGTCGCTATCTCCTGGACGTGGATTCCCGGCACGTGAGAAGCACGCACGTCTAATTGCTGTTGGAATGGTCGCCGAATACTTGGAACACTTATAGTGTTGAACGACTCATTACAATCGCTCTCACGGTTCTCGCATTCGAGGAATGTCCTTTCGCGCGAATCTCTAAATTTTTTTCAATTTTCGCTGTCGGTACGTTAAAAATTAATTTTCCTCATTTGTTTTCCAACAAACGTTCAGTTTCTAGAACGTCACGAATATTAATATTTTCGCATCCGAAACTGTGCGTCATCGCGCGAAACCTATCGCTCAAGTTCGCACGACCGAAGTCACGTAGCCTCCACGATGATCACTATAATCATAATGTATGAATGTAGATTGTGTTCCTATGTATACAAGTATTTCAAATGTGGATATTAATGGCGAAGAAAAATGGTTAAAATTGCTTCAAGGTTCGCATAAATAGTCACGAAATTCTTGAACTTTGACGAGGATTGCACGAATGTAAACAGTTAATGAAGTGTTTTTTTCCACGGTGATTATTACCTTCGCGAATTTTCGCGCTTCGTGGAAACATCGATACTTGTTTTGTTCCAAGATTCTCACCTACAGATAATGTCACGCGACGATTCTGCTTTCCTCCCGTCGATCGTCATATCGATGTAATGGCTCGCCATTGTTTGCAAATGCAAGTCCCGGGCGTGTAATGGTTCCGGTATTATTAGACGTACGACTTTTATGTTTCAGCGATAATCTCGCTTACCGTGCGCGTATCTTCCCGAAGCGAGGATCCCGATAAACCATACACATAAATATTATATTCGTGATGTTGACTCCTTATACCTGCGCGACTCGTCAAGGTCGCGTTTACAAAGAACTCGAGCACGCACAGGTATCTTATTACACTCGCAATAGCCACGTATCTTATTATATAGATAGGTATAGAACCACAGTGAACAGTGAGAGGAAATCGATTAAGAAAGCGATCGATAAGCTGGCGACTAAAAATCAGAATTGACGATAATTACCAGCGTCCTCTGGGCAACACATAATTTATGATTGGAGCTGAAAGTCACGGAACGTGTGACTATTAGAATGGTACATAAATAAGCGAAAACATAGAATGCGTAGTTGATCGAGACCTGAAAGAGTAATTTGTAAATGTAATTTGTAACATGTAAAATGCATTTATATAGAATAATGTAAATTTTTATCAAAATTTCGCTTTAACTCTCCGAAGCTTATCTCAAACTCTGTAATACAGTTACTGATGCTGAGCCTATTAAACCCATTTAATTCATGTTAATTAAAAGATATCTTGATAATTTAGCACAAATACAATTTTTTTTTTAGAAATATGTCCTATTTAAATATGCAGCTCATTATTAATCTTTAGTCCTTAGAATTTAATTTTAGTCTTTAGAATTAATAACATTTTATAACTTTAAGAAAATGTAAATTAATGTTTTTAATTTTATTAAAACATTTTATTGAAATAAACAACCTTTTAATTAAAATTGCAATACTGAACAACTGTGTGATTTTTCAGGTACTGCTTCAGGCGGCACTAGTCTGGGAAGAAACTCACGGCGCTCCAGCGAAGAAGAGCGACATAGTTGCCGGTACAGAATTCCTCTCAGTCTTCATAAACGGCGCTATGGCGACGCCGCCGCAACGACGTCGGGGCTTCCGACCGCGTGTTGGTCAACACGCGGCTGCGACAGCGGGTGACAGCGCGACCGCCGAATCGCACCAACACGAGGCTTCGATCTATCGAATATCTCGGAACCCAGGCAGTCGACCGATTTCAGTGTCGAGGCCACAAACGAGCGGTCGCGACGAGATCGTTCGTTTCTATCCTATAAATCAAAAAACGTTGGAAAACCAGCAACAAAATCTAGCGTCGTTAATCGACGACTTGAGCACGCCGGGCGACATAAGTTCGACGCACCTGACGCCTTCGAGCGCGGTAACAACGACGATGACGAGCGCGCCGACGTCGATCTATCAAGCTCGAACAATCTCAAGGTCGAACGGGATCAACGGAACTATTGGCAGAGGTATCAGCCGGCAGAAGGTGATCGGTGTCAGCGTCACATCCACGGTTGAGGCCACGCCGTACAAAGTACGTGTCGAGCATTACGACAGCGCTGACGCCGTGGTAGTTACGCGACCACCAAGTTTGGACTCTACGGTGAGTAGAGAAGTTCCTAAAGAATCAACCAAGGAATCAATTAAAAGTTTGACGAGTACCAGCAGACCGTCGACGTCACTATCGTCCACAATGACGACAACGACGACCACAATTACGACGACTACAATGACGCCACCACCGCCGGGTCGATTCGTTACCGAGGAGCTTAGCAATATCGTTTCGGAATCAAACAGGAGCGAATTCTCCGTTGATGAGGACTCACCAAGAACGAGTTGGCGCGGCCGCGTAACCATGACACCACGAATTGAGAACAATCATCAGGATGAAGAAATCAATGAGGCTGGACGGATCATCGATGTCGACGCGATTACTCTACCGACGGAAGAGAATTACGAGCTACCCGTAGAGAATTCGGAACGACGAGAGTTGAATGAGGAATTGTCGGAGATGTCAACGGATCGGCTTCAAGGACGCAAGATGGGACGTCACTATGACGCGTCGCTCTATAACCGATCGGGCCCGAAGGCGTACAGCCAATCATCAAAAGCGTACAAACCTTCGCGAACCTATAATGAGCCGCCTAAAGTATATAGCGAGCCGGCCAAAATGTATGGTGAACCCGAACGTATGTATGGAGAACCGGCTAAAGTGTACAGCGAGCCGGCTAAAATCTATAGCGAACCAGCCAAGGTTTACAGCGAGCCTGCCAAGATTTATAGCGAGCCGGCCAAAGTCTATGGCGAGCCGGAAAAAATCTATTCCGAACCATCCAAGATCTATTCGGAACCAGCTAAAGTCTACTCCGAGCCAGCCAAAATCTATTCGCAGCCGGCTAAAGTATATGGCGAGCCCAGCAAGGTGTACGACTCCGAGGGCCAACCAGTGGATCGTCAAGAAAGCGTTGAGCCCCACGAGCAGAATTATGAAATCGATGAGTCGGTCAGCGTCGGCAGCAACGGCAATGTCCACGGGCCGCAATTGGTTGTCACGGAGGAAACCCCAGGTGCGACGGAAGACGGTCACAAGGTCGGCTACGTAGTGGAGGGCAGAAACTATAGGAAGTACAGGGTCGAGGAGAGAACGCCGGACGGCTTTATCGTGGGCGAGTATGGCGTCGTCAGTCACGACGACGGTTCTTTGCGCGGCGTCAGATATACCGCTGATGGTACCATCAATCCCCAACTCATCTACGACGCCCTGATGAAGTTCCTCGCATTGTGAACGCCGTGATAACGAAAAAAGTGAAAGGAAGAAAGACGAATCGACGAATCGTTGCGAGACACCAAGGGAGATCACGCAACGTTGCTGGGCTCATTTCTTCACCTATAATTCATGTTATGTTTCAAAAATCAAGACTAATTCGATTTGCTGCAACCCACGCGATATTTTTACTACAGTTGTCTGTTAGATAATGGTCTAGTCTAGGCCATTCAATGTCAGCTAATAATGGGTTATGAAAACTACTATTGTTTCCTTCTTCAGAAAGACTTGATTCCGCAGCGACGGATCGGCAAATTGCGGATTTCTTCGAGGTGGCTTCGGCAATGTCGTCGATGAGACAAACACGACTGATACTTTTGCTCTTGCCAACTCAACTGCCTCAACAATTAATTTTAAGGACGATTTAGGATCTAAGGAAGAACTCACTCGACCAAGGCAACCTGCGCGCGCCACCGACCCGAGAACCGAAAGGTCGACCGGGACCGACGCACGAAAAAGTCAAATCTCGATGCTCAATCATTGCGAAACGCTGACAGATGAAAGTTACTCTTTGGACGGCGAAAGTACAAACTTTTGTGTGCAATGCCGCTCAATGGCCTTTGATGATCGTAACAACCGATCAAAGTGGTTGTCGAACATTTTTTTTACTAGCTAATAGCTACTCACAAGCACATTTGAAGTGAGAACGCAACTACTCGCGGGCTAAAAATATATTTCAGTGCATAAGAATCTCATGTTTGTGTGCATGACACGCATCGACTTGGACGATTTTTCATTTTAATGTAATATTGGTTACGTTCAACAGAAAAAGCAACTTTGCAAAAGCTGTTGTAAAATTCTTCAATGTGATTGGTCTTATTTTTAGTTCCCCCCCCTGAATCTAAATATATAAATTAATTATATTAAAAAAATCTTACAATACACACACACACCCCCACACAATTGCAAAGCTGCTGTTTCTGTTTAAAAGAAAGTCATTAACAGAAAGTTAGTAATTTTTTGCATGCTTTTATATGACGTTCGACGCGATATTTACATTTGCCTGAAAGTACGGTAACAAATTAGTAACCGCCCAGATAACATAAAGTCGAAAATCAAGATGTCTAAAAAACGTCTTAAAGACATCTTTGTGAGAAACGTTTTAAAAACATTTAAAAGACATCTTGAATATCGATTTTAGACTTTGTGTTGTCTGGACGTCATTTCATGATCACGGCTACAAGATAAAATGGGAATCGTGCCTGATGAAACATAAAATTAAAGACATGTCCGATCCTGATGCGATATTGCGCACCTGGAGATTGATTAGTTGACACTGACAATGATTCCCACGTGCGCATATTGATACGTGTCTTTGCAACTGAATATCTGATATAACGAGAATCGTACCCACCTTTGTGCACTCGTCGAGGATGTACTCGTGACAGACCCTCGATCCCTGATCTCTGATCTTTGATCTCCGGTAAGAAAATCTCGAATCGCACTCGCTGTGAAGAATCGGATCCCAAATATTTTGACCGCAACAAATACTTTGGCTGAAAGTGCGTTTTAACACGCACGTTCCATAAAAGGATTTGCATCGCAACACAAAAATAATTCACGATATCTTCCCACATGCCGGTAATTTTTCCGTCTCTTTTTTAGAATAATAAACATCAGAGATCATCGATCGAGCGATCGATATGATGCGATTTCGTGTGACATACGAGAATAAATCTCTTTTTACATAGTAAAGAAATGTTATCTCATAGTGTCACGAGATCTATATTGATCAGAGATTAATTTAATCGCCAAAGGGAATTTAACAGAATATTTTACTGTTTTTTTTATTATATCGCAGTTAACACTAGAACAATCGAAATTTTCTCTTATCATTTTTAATGTTTAAAGCCCGTTCTACAATAGGGTCGCAAGTCGTAAGCCGTAAGAAATTGGCCAATCACAGTTGAATATGAAAAAAATAATCGACTATAATTGGTTAATTTCTTACAGCTTGCAACCCTATTGTAGAACAGGCTTAAGAAATATTTAATATGTACAGGATGTCTAGCAACAGGTGAAATAAAACTTAAGGAGTGATTTTAGATAATAAAAAAATAAGTGATTTTTTTAGATGATAAAATGATTGGTTTATACTTCGAGAGACATTGAATAAAAATATAAAAAATAAAATAAATAGTATTTACATGAAATATTTTATTACGAGATGTGTCGAAATTGTTAGCGGATGAATCGAACGTATCCGAATGTTCTAACGTTAACAGCTTCCAAAATCATTGACTGAGAGTCCCTTTCGTGCGTTTTCATCGCGGTTATGCTTCTGTGATGAAGAGGTAGATGAAAAAGTTGCAACTGCCAGGGCCCTTTGTCCGAGAATGGTCGACGATTCTTTAAAGTAGCTAGCTGGCCCCGCAGCTGCGACGAACGGACCGACTTGTCACGGCAGCGTCTCCGCGCGTATCCTAGTTCTATAAGTTCCCTAGATTTTAAGGCTGACAAAGGAAGTATCTCAATTAGCGAGAAAGCTCGTTTTTATTCTCCGTAGCATCAATTATATTATTTAGCAATTACAATTAGCTCGTTCTCTCACATTACCTCAGTCCTTGGAGATAGTTCCTCTCGCCATGCAATATCGAGCGCTCTCATACCCTAAACGCGAGTAAGCGTTCCGTGAAACTCACGAGAAACATAATATATGAAGTGTTCCGAAATCGTCTTTGCCTCTTTGATGAACGAGCGATTACGGGAAAGTAAGTTTCAAGTTTATCGATGAAAGGAAAGAAATATAAATGAAAGCATCGACATTAATTTCCCGACAGCCTGTACGGATATATCTTGTGTATTGCTCACGTTTATAAACTATAAAGGTCTCGATTATATTCTATTTTACTCTCCCGTATGTACATTTCTAAAGCATTTAAGTATATTACAGACGGTATCTCTAAGAACTCTTGTAAGACATACATCCTAAATAATGTTTACTATAAAAATATTATATGTAATGCTGTGTGCAAGCCATCGCCATTTTTTAACAGCAACATTGTAATAAAGACATTGCCATGAAAAGTATTCTGACCCTTAAATTATTATGATCCTAGCATTCTTGCGATCGAAAATTTCATTAATTTATCTCGATTTTTTCTTAAAAAACTTAATTTTATTATACTCTTTGATTATCAATTAAATTAATTTAATAAAAGTTCAAAGTTTTACATCCGAGTATTTCAGTGTTCATCGATGCAAGACGGCCCTGTTAAAAATTGAATCATGTTTATATACAGACTTTGTCGTGTCAGAATCGTAAGCTTTGATAGCCATCAAAATGCGATTCTCTGCATCTTTATATATTACATGGACATTTCTAAACCGATCTTAATTCCATTATATTTATTAAAGTTTTCCCGCGGTGATCGAAGAGAGTCAAAATACTTGCGTGCAGCGACATTGACCGGTTATTCATTATCGTGGCGCCAGACAGGAGGTGCTCGTAAGGTACTCGTGCAATTTAGGGAGTAATGAACGTCCTTGAAGGCCAGACAATTTTCTTCACCGTTCATCCGTATCTTGATAACTCGGCGATCGCTAATAACAATCTATTCCGAATAATGATGCGTCTACAACTGGAAATATAATTAATATAATATGTTTCTTTGTTTTTTTATTTTTGAAAAATATTCTGGATTTCGTGAAAAGATTGATAACTTTATGAAAAACGTTTAATAGATTTTACCAAAAAAACCCCCCCCCCCGCTCTCTCTCAATTGTATTTGCAATTAATTATCTATTATTATTCAATTATTAAGAGAAACATGTTTCTAATTTTCGTGTATAGTTATATTTATTTATTTTTAAAAGATGAAGATTCTTATTATTTTTTTATAACATTATTGCATTGAATGTACACTAACATTGTTTGAAACTTTCTTAGTATTTTCAGGGCCGAATTCAATAATGATAATAAAATCATCAAAGTGTCGAATATGTTATGAAAGACAGGCATCTTAAAAATTATTTAATGATGCATACTCGTATTTGGTGAGATATATGCAAATTGTACCATGTATGTAGTAGCAATTATTTTGACAAATTAATCGTAATTTGCTTACAATAAAAGCACAGGCACACGAAACAAAATTTAATGTTTGATCGGAGATTAAATCGTAATATTCTTATGTATTTTGACGCTTTGAAATCTATTGCTTCATCTACAATTTGCACATCGGATTCGGTTTTAGAGCGTCAAGATACATAAAAATACCATTGTTTAATCTACGGCTTAAAATTTTTTTATGTGCGAGTGTAATTTATGCATAAAACAAAATTTTATCGAATATTTCCATCGTTTGAATGATCGACATCCGCGGATCCGATCAGTCTGATATTCCACTTCGAATAATTCTTGAGTTAATATCACACATAAAATCTTTAACAATTTTAGTTTATATATATATCTTTTCTTATTATAAATTTGTCATTATCTTTTAATGTTTAGAATATTCTCAAGATTTGTAAAAAAGAAATGTTTATAAAATGAGAATAAGTTACTTATAAACAGGGCTGGATAATATTTAAAATAGTTCTATTTTAAATATGTATTTAAAATGGAAATGGTATTTTGCATTTTCCATTTTAAATGGTTTTTGGAAAATGGTTTTTCATTTTACGTTTGAAATGGAATCTTGTCTATCATTTAACCATTCATATAAAATAGGTAAATGGTTTTTCTATGTTTTCACAAATTTTCTCTAGAATCATTGGTGTATAAGAAGAACTAAATCCCACGATTGGTCAAAGATTTTTATGGATATTCAAATAAACTGCAAATTAAACTGTAAAGAGAAAATTAATTCCAGATAGTCCATAAATATTGACTCTTAATAAAAAATGAATGTTCCAGCATTACGTAAAATACTATATACATTTCTAAAAATGTATATTACTCTTAACATCTAATTTTGACCGTAACCGACGCTTTTCATATTAATTTGATTTATTCAAGTAAACGGTCCCGTTTCCAAATCATAATATTAAAAAATTTTAAATATTCCCGTCAGAAATACTTTATTTATAATATTGTAATCAGGGCTTCGAATTCCGTTGAAAATGGATTTCAAACGTAAAATATTTTTATAAAATTTATACCATCTTGGCAGAAAGTTTTTACAAAAAAACTACATAGATTGAAACAAGGTCTTAGAAATTTTTAGTTTTTCGTAGATATTTGTAGTAGGACGTAAAGTAGTGTTATTTGTTTGAAAAACCAAGAAATCCTCCGCCGAAAATACATAAATTTTCTGTAGCTTTTTAAGTCTTTTATAAAATAATTCTTTATTCAAAAATATATTTTAAAAGATTTCTACATGGTGTTTTTCTAATAAATCGCCATCTTGATGTTTAAACGTATAGATGGAACCAGGTTACCGTCACCTGACACAGGTGGGAGCCGATAAGTTAGGAGAAGGTCTTACCGTTATACGGTCGGATTACCGATGCGGTGTGCTCGATTTGAAGGGGGAATGGCGTTCAAAGGAGCAACCGCCGACGGGTTTCGACGGCGAATAAACATGGTCACGCGACTTCGCCACTCGATATAGCATTGGTCCACACACGCCGCTTGATCACGGTTCTTATTGTCCAAATAATTGAAACACTAATCCCCTTTGCCCTCGCATTGACAGTCAGGACGTGATCGGACGTGACGCGACAACCCAGCGCTATTTAGAAGTGCGTGTTCGAGGGGGTATAACCCCGGAACGGGATGAGCGCCGTAAAAACGCAAACTCAAACGTACGACACGCATTTACCCCGCAGGGGTACACGTGACTCTAATACACTTTCGCTTTAAACCATCGCCTATAACAGGATCGTATATTTGCTCGCGATAGAAGATATTTTAAATTGCATTGCAGTGAAGCTGCCTGAAGTAATTCTAACAATGGAATATTAAAGAATGTGCGAAAGGCAGAAGGTTGTGAGTTTTATAACTTG